TGTGAAATGATGGAAATTGAGGAAGAGCCCTATGGTAATGAATTGGAATTGGAGCATTGGTGTAGACTCATATATAAAACATGCATATATTTCTTATCTCTGTCCACTGGAAGGCCCAAGAAGCAAAGACACTCCAGTAGCAACAAGAACATCTAGTGATGAGATCTTGATTTCTAATCCATTAAAAGGAACCAGGACTCCTCAGAGAAGACTGATTCCAGGGCTGGGGAAGGTAAGATTCAATATGGACCTGGAACATCTTTTATATCAGGAAGTTAAGAAGTGCCTGAAGCAATTATGGGATGTGTCACAAGGACATAGGAGCTAGTGTGAAGGGACTCCACTAGCCAAATGTGGGAGATTTTGAGATTAATAAATTATAAACCCTCAAAAAATAGGAATTCATGAGTCCTTATTGATGATCAATCAATCAATAAAGGAGAAGCATTCTTGTTTTGAATGCCAAGTGCCAATTGGCCAATGCAGAGACAGATTTGGAGTTTGAAAAATCATCATTCTGCAACCATCACAGTAGAAACTGCTTCAAGCAAAAAACATTCATACATGTTAAATCTAAGGGGGAGAGGGATTTTGCTGAAGAGCAGGGCATTTGGGAGGTTTAATGTATTCCCACAGATTGCATATTCCTAGAAAAGGAAAAAGCAGCAACTATATAGTAGAAATTTCCAATAAATCCAACCTATACACTAAAGTATTTGGGGGAAAGAGATATGATGTATGCAGCTTACTCTCAAATGTTCAGTAAAACAATAATGCATACACATATATAGAAAAAGAGAAAATGATAAACAAATGGGACAAAATGTTAACGATTGGTGAATCTGAGTAAAGGAAACATGGGTGTCTTTGTACTACTCTTGCAGATTTTCTGTTTGACATTATTTCCAAATAGAAAATTTTTAAAAAAGCAAAAAATAAATCTATACAAATGCCATTGTTTCATCATCCTCTGAGTAAATGAAAGTGTCACAAATGATAGAACAAACAAGAAAATATCCAAATGGTAAAGTTTCCATCTTGTCCTTTGTCTTTCTTTGAATTAAGGACAGATTGTTGGATATTTTACACAAACTTAAAGAAATGATGAAACATCTGATTTAAATAGTTAAATAAAATAGGCTACATTATGTACTTAGTAGCGAAACGAGTATATTTCCTCTAAAATGTGAATTTCTTACACTGCAGTCTTTTAAGAGCCAAGCATTTAATGCCACACAAGATGGATTACAGAATAAAATTACTTCCCTGTGGATAGACTTTTAAAACTAAATTAATATTTCAAAGCATATGGCTGTTACATGAATTTCTCCCAAATTTCCTTTGAAAAGCTAATACGGTCATATTGAGCAGGAAAAAACCCTCAAACTCAAATCCCACTTTTAATTATGAGATACTTGTGAGACGTAAAATTAGAACATTTAAAAGGTGATTTGCAGGGCTGTTAATAGCCGAACTATGGTGAAAATGTGAAGATGAGAAACAGCAGTATACTAAAATGGGTATAAGAGCTAGAAAGAGAAACCTGGATTTAAAACCTGCTTCTTTCTCTTAGAAGTCACTTGAGGCAAGGGGCAAGATTCTCTAAGTCAGAATTTTCTAAACCAGTGGTTTGGTTCTAGTTGTGGTACCCAGCCAGCAGCATCCACATCAACCAGGAACTTTTTAGAAATGCAAATTCTCGGGTACCACCCTAAACCTACCAAATCGAGTTAGGTCCAGTGATCTGTGTTTTAACAGGCCCTGCAGGTGCTTCTGATACACACTAAACTTTCAGAACCATACTGCTAAGCTACAACAAAAATAACAGTAATAAAAATTAGTAATAGTAATACAATCCATTTTAGGATTATGATGATTAAATGAGATATTACATGTGCAGAAATGATTTCTAAACTGTAGCAAAAACACTCATCATTAATGGTAGATTATTATTGTGTGACATAGAATTGTGAGAGAAAAATCTTAAAACCAATAGTACTTTGTGCTTTTATCAAACTGCCCTTCTACAAAACTTCAAAGAAGGTTAATTCCTTAAAACTTCCCACACTTGGTACTAGGTCTTGCACATCGGGTTGCTCATTAAGCTTTATTGATGCTAACTGAAATAAGTTCAGTTGACCAACGTCATTGGCAAGTATTTTATCTCTTGTTTTTGATATGGTCAAACTGGGAATTTTAAACGTCACTGAAACCAACCAAGCTATTAATTTTGAAAGACAATTTAGCTTCTGTGTTTAGGGGCAGATACTTTGCTTTGGAGTTACACTATCAGGCACCACTCATTGCTGTGTAACTTTGGCAAAGTTATTTACCCACGCTGGGCCTCCTGACTTTGCTCATAGAACAAGGGCGATAATAATAATAGTATCCACCTCAATGGGATGTTGAGAGTATTCACTGAAATTTGAAAGAACTTAAAAATGGCCCTGGTACACAGCATTCAATATTCTTTCTACGCCCTGAATGCCATACTTAGTTCATCTCCCTTTTACTTCTTCATTATTTCCCTCCTTGCTTTCTTTTGGGTTTTATGCCCATGTCTGCATGAACACTTTCTTTTCTTGGCGTCTGCACATCTTTTAATGAAGATGAAGACCAGACACTCATAGAAACCTTAAATGTACATAAAATGATGTATATACTCTTATCTCCTATTATGAATTAGCACAGCTTTTGAAATATCAACTTCTTTGAGGTAAAATGTACATACACTAAAACATACACATTTTAAGTGTACTGTTAAGTGTACAATTCCATGACTTCAGCACATGTATACACCTGTAGAATAGCCACCATTATCAAGATATAGAACATTTCCATCACCCCAAAACAGTTCCCTCATGACCTTCTGCAATCAATCTCCTCTTCCTATACACACCCTCAGGTAACCATTCATCTGCTTTCTGTCACTATAGATTAATTGTGCCTTTCTAGAATTTCATATAAACAAAATAACAGTAATTTGTTTGTGTCTGGCTTCTTTGCTCAGCATATTGTTAGCAGAGATTTATCTGTGTTGTTGCACGTGCTTCAAACTTTCTTTTATTGCTGAGGAGTGTTTCATTGCATGGATATAGTACAATCTGTTTATCCATGGGTTACTTCCAGTTTTCCTTTCCCATTTTTCCTCTTAACTATATATCTTATGGATTTTCCCCATCATTTTAAAGTTTGTATATAACATGCACATATCCTAATTTACTTAATTGTTTTACCTCTGTTGGACATGTAGGCTCTTTACCGTGTTTTAAAATGATAATAAACACTGTTATAAATATCTTCATGAACTCAAATATTAATGGAATCCAATTTGGGAATATGATTCTTGGACTATAGTCTTTATCTTTCAATGGTTTAGAAATATTTTCACTCTCTTAAATTCCAAGGTTGCATATGAGAAGCTTAATGTCTGTCTGATTCTTTTTCTAAGAGACTTTTTAAAAATTATATATGAAAATTTATATGATTTTAATTTATACAAGTTCAAGTAGGTCTCGGGGATATGTATGCCTGCCTCTTTTATTTTATTTTATTTTATTTTATTTTATTTTATTTTATTTTGCGGTACACGGGCCTCTAACTGCTGTGGCCTCTCCCCTTGTGGAGCACAGGCTCCGGATGCACAGGCTCAGCAGCCATGTCTCACGGGCCCAGCCGCTCCGCGGCATGTGGGATCTTCCCGAACTGGGGCACGAACCTGTGTCCCCGGCATCGGCAGGCGTACTCAACCACTGCACCACCAGGGAAGCCCTGCATGCCTCTTTTAAAAAAAAATTTGGAACTCACCATTTTACATCAGAAAATTCAAATATTATTATAGCTCAGAATTAAAAAAAAATCTCTTTGCTGTTTGCTTCTTCATTTTTGTTTCTTTTAAAACTGCTTCGAGCCTGCATATTATTCTCATTTGGGGCCTCCTCTATGTGCCTTGGAGTTTTTTTAAATATTTTTATCCATGATTTGCTCATCTTCGTACTTCTCTATGTTACAAATATGCGCTCTATTTGATTGAACAGTCTAAGTTGTTTTTGAACGTGACCATTTTATAATTTTTCTGTAATTTTTTAAAAATCTCAAGTCAAGCTTTATTTTACTTTCCAGAAACTGTGAGGCTGTAGGACCAAGGGATGAAGTTTCGCAGAAGCCAAGGATTAAATGTTTGGATTCTAACTTAAGGGCAACAGGAAGCCACTGAGTTTTAAACAGGTGAATGAATGTGATTAAATCTGTAGTTTAAGAAGAAATAATCTAGCTTCAGTCTGGCTGATCTCCCTTGAGGCAGGAGAATGGTTATCATAGAGACTACCAGAGCCTGTATTAGGGAAGAAATGGAGGCCAAAATGCAAATTCATTTGAGTGGGTATTAGGTGTACAATCAGTGGTACTTGGTGATAGTCTGGTTTTTGCGGCTGAGGGAGAAGGAGAAATTGACCAGGCTTCTTGTTGGACCTGGAGGATGGTTAGCTCTGCAATGATGCATAAAACACAGTAGGAAGCTCAAGTGATGTTTATTTTGGAGGCGATGTATCCTTGCATCCTCTAATACCCATGTAGCAGTATATTTATAAACTCCTAGAGGAGGACTGACTAAAGTGTTTGTGCCTTTGAATTTTGATACATATTGCCACAGTGCTCTCCTTAAACCATGCACTGTTTCTGCACTTTCCAATTCTCCTAGGTTTTCCTCACTGGCTTTCTTTGTCTAACATCTTAAACCCTGAAAATTCCCTTCATTTGTGTAAGGATAAAATACAAAGATTTTCTTCATTCATTACTTCCAAAGGAAAAATTGGAGTGGAGAGCAGGGCGATAAAGGAGCTTATTAAACTCCGTGTCAATAGCCAAAGCAAAGGGTTAGAAAAAGTTCCTTCAGGAGAGGACCAAGCTCCTCGAGTCACTCTGTAGAAGGAAGAACTGGAGCGTGGGGAGGAGTCGGGGCCACCCCCGCCCCCAGCCTCGCGTAGGTGCCACCCGCGGAGATGAAATGTGAGCCCGGGTGGCCGAGGACGCTGGATCGGCCGCTTAGCCCGCCGCCCAAGCGCCGCGGGGACAGACAAAGAGACCTCCGCCCCAGCGCAGCCCCGCGCGGCGGCCCGGGCTCCCCTCGAAAGCTCCCAGGGCGATGGCCAGGTCTCCGCGCCACCCGGCTCTCCAGAGCGCTGCCCTCTCCATCTGACCGCCCTCCAGCTCTCCCATACCCTCCCGGTGCCGGGCTCTCCCTTGGCTCCCAGCCCTCTCTACAGACCGGTCTGTCTGTCTCTCTGTCCATCTCTGTCCAGGCGCGCAACTTCCGGCCACCGGCTTGGATGGACGCGTGGAGGGTCCCCGGGTGTCCAGGGGTCTTGCTTCCGAAGTTGGTCCTGCTCTTTGTCTACGCAGGTCAGTGACCTAGGGCGGCGGGAGAGGGGAAGGGGGCTCGGGGCGGCGCTGGGGTCACACTCCGAGCAAACACGGGTTGGGCGGGATGCACGGGGCCATGGTGAGAGGTCAGAGACTGTGTGGTCCCCGCAGGCAGGAGCAGAAGCCCGCGCCCGCGCTCTGCAGCTCTGGGCTTGACCTCCACGCGGTTGTTTTGTCCCTTTCCTTACACGTTTCCTTTTTTTTTTTTTTTTTCTTTTCCTTTCTCTCTCTCCGCGAAGCAGCTACCCCCAACCCCACATTTAGGGGTTATTGTTTTTATTTTCTGGATAGCGTGCATTTTTTCCAGTCGTATCCAGGACTCGGGAATTTGGGGTGAGAGTGGAGACTGAGCTGTGCGAGGAAAGCATGTTTTTTGAAAAGCACCTGAAGTTAGGGAGGCATCGCTGAGGTTTCAAATAAACTAATCTGATGACTTTTCCATTTCAGTAAATGCTACCCACTGGCCCCTCCACCTCCACATTCCGAATATTCCGGATTTTCCCTTTCAGAAATAAAAAAGCCTTAGACCTCTGTTTTTCTTCTTTAGAAGATGATCCTCAAGTGTGGTGGACAGGGTAATTGGAAGCTTTGCATTGAAATATAGGGTTTTCGAGAGGCATAAATTCATCCAGAATCTCATCTGTTTTCGCTGAATTTGTTAAGCGCTTGCTTATAGGTGAAGGGCATCTCATTTCCCTCATCCTAATTATTCTTAGAGAGGATTGCTAATAATTGATGAAGCAAAGCAGTTTTCTTGTTTTGTGACTGATGCTGAGCCCAAAATGGCCTTTCATTGGTTATTCATGTATAAAGTTAATTACACATGCGGCTTTGCATCCGCTTCATATTTTAAAAAACAGGATAAAAGCAGAGTTCTTTGTAAATGTTTTCATGTCTGTAACTTCCTATGACAAACACCACAGGCTTACCTATGACCTTGCAGTAGTAAGTTTATGTATAGCACTGTGACTTGCCTTTTGATACTTACAATGATATTGCAACCAAAATGAAGACGTTCTTCAACATTCTTACCTGAACATCAGTAGAACTGAATTTCTCATTCAACCTTGTCAGAAATGAATCACAATAACTTCTATAGAAGTTTCCAATCTGTTTATTAAAATGTAAATTAGTGTCTGTCTATAAGTTGTTTTAAAGATATTTTATTGTAGGGGAATAGCTGACCTTCAAATACAGAAATTTATAAAATAGAAAAAGTACTTTCTATTTAATGAGAGTCCACATTATGATGTTTTTCCAGCACTACTTAAGTCGTATAATGTTTTTAGAATTTGAGAGTCTAACAGAATCAATTGCATTAATATTTGTGTTATATTAAAATCTTAATGTTAAATTAAAATGTTAAATTAAAATTAGTTCATTTGAAACAGTGATAATTCTTTCCACTTCCTCTGTTTACCAAAAGAAAACAAAAATAAGAAAATAGAACGCAGCAAATGAAACTTTAATTCCCTTGCTCATCTTCAGTCACACCACTGAACAACTTTTTCTTGTTCTTTTGTCCATTTTATTCTCTTTGGTGAGCCGAAAGCTTCTAATTTGCACTTTTCCTTCCCTTCGTCCTGTTCCCCCAAGTGCACAGCACCCCCAGGATTCAGGAAACCCGCCCAGCTGGCCAGCAGCAAGCTTGATCAGTTTTAAAAGTTTTCATTCCATTCATTTCTTCTCTCCATCCGCATCCCTCCCTAGTACGCTACAAAGTCATTGCAAGCCAATACTAGGTCGAGTTATCATCTTTGATAAGAAATTATTAGCTAATGTGCTTTTGATATTAATTCCTGAACTCTATTTCAGAGGCCTTTTTATGCTTGCCATATTCACTCAACTAATATTTATGGAATGAGACGTGTTGAATGATACGTAGGACAGAGGCCATGCTTTGAGTCTTGTCTGGGAGATCAGGTGTGCCCTTTACTCTAAGGTACAAAAAGTTGTATTATAGGAGAGATACACCATGTGCTATAGGTGTTCGAAGGAGACCTTATTGCTGGCTTAGGAGAATATGCTCCATGAAGATGATGTCTATTTTGTTTAGCATAATATTCTCAGAGACTAGCAAAACACCTGGCCCATAAGAGGAACTCAGGAAATATTTGCTCAGAGAAATTAAATTGAGGAGGACATTTTAGGACCTACACCTTTGAATTAGAGGAAGCCTTGGACATAGGAGATGTAGTAGGATAGATGTGAACAAAGGCAAAAATCATGAGATTTGTATATGCAAAAACAGATAACACAGTTGGGTTGGAACTAAGAGATAAGGCTGGAAGTGAGGATTGGGGTGAGATGGGGGAACACGGAAGAAATAGCATTAATCCAGATATGCTGTTAAATAAATTGCCAGCTTTAATGGGACAAAAGCCTATGTAGATGCACTGTCCGTAACCCGAATTATTTTCTCCAAGGAAAATGCATCAAATACAGGTTCCATTCGTTAAGGAAATAACAGCAAGGTTTCTATACCTGAAGCATCATGTCTGACTGTGGAGTCACTTTTGGGAAGAGATTCAATGAAGTGTTTATATTATTATCCAACTCCCACTGCAGGCTACAAAGACAGGATTTGGCCAAGGTTTTAACCTTTCCAACCCTAGCCAGTGATTTCTGTCTCCTCCCTTTCCTTCCTTTCTGATCCTTAGCTATAGATTACAAGAGCCAATTCTGAGCAAGTGCCTGGAGCCAGATGCTTTCCTGTACTACACATTTCTTAAGATGGGAGTGGGGAAGCTTCTTCCAGATGCTGCCTTTAACCAAAGTCATTGACGAAAATTGGAACTAGATGATTTTCAAGGATGTTAACTTGAATATTAGTAATAATATTATTTATCTTCTGAGGGCCATTGGGATGTTTCATTCTTTTACACGTGAGAAAATGCTTCTGTACTGTCCAAACTGTGATCTTTATAGGATTATTCTCAAATAAACCGGAGAAAGCAACTAACATATCAAAATAAGTTTGAGGTGTGGTTGACCCCCCAGTTTGGAAATGTTGTGATTGTGAATGTATTTGCCATACTATTAAACCTTCCCTTTTCAGTTGTTTAATTCTGGGAAGTAGACAAGAGTGCTGGAAAATGCCATAAAAATAATGAACAATGTGTGGCAGGATCTAGATGTTTGCTGCAGGTATAATCCAGCTTCTTGGCTACAAGATTTGGGGCTTGGTTTCCTGTAACATTGGCTCAAAATATTTTGATAACACCATGTCCTTACAATAGCAGTAATTGAATCTTCGATAATCATGGAGAGCTTAATAAGATGTCACTGTCTTGGGCATTATGCAAAAGGCACCCCATGAAGCTATTTAAAAATCAGTTGTCCTGCTCTGACAGAATAAGGCGGGGTGTCAGCTCTCCCACTATCTGAACGGCTTTTAAGAGCATAAAGCAAAACATCCCAGCTAAGCGCTTGAGATAACTGACTAGTCTAAATATTTGACTTAATTAAACAGTACTAAAAATAAAAGCTATAGAAATTCCCTGGGAAAATGATAAAATAAACTGCAAAAAGCAGACACTGTCAATAAATCATTACATCGTGTTTTCTGTCCTCAAAATTTTGGATTTAAGTAGAGTTACTGAATCTTACAAAGGTAGTTATTTTTCCCTTTCATGTCTTCTTACCATATCCCAGAAGAAAACATTAAGGTTTGTTCATTTATAAAGTAGAATAAAATTGAGGAAAAGAAAACATGAACTTTTGACTTGTTCCACAGAGGCCATGCATTATTGATAAAGGTGAAAGAATTTGCTGGGTTTTGATTGCATCAATTTGTAAAGAATCATCTTGTCATGGAGGTGATTTAAAAGCAAAATCCGTATTTTCCTCTCTAGACAAATCAATTACATGGACATGTAGGCATATATATAACATTTGCACTTCTATGTTATGACTTTGACAGAAAAGCAAAAGTCTTATATAATTTAGATAGTAGTTATTACCTTCAGAGATTGAGTTGGAATTGACCTATTTTGTGATTCTTGAACATGTAACTTAAATTACCAGACTGTACTTAATGTTTTCCTACATGTACCTGAAACTCACATATCCATTGTAATTTATACCACTGATTATAACTAAATGATAACCTTAACTTGTTAAACATAAATCATTGAGGAAGAATAAAGAATTTTTTAAAGGTAGGGTAATTTTTATTTAACATTTTGGTATAATTTTCCATGGCAAAAACATGGAAAAAAGACAGTAATTTTGTTTTGTCAGCTCTGGTATGTCCTTTTTAATCAGAAAATACATTTCCCTCTTCACATAGTGCTGTTTCATAGCTTATTGATTCTTTTTTTTTTTTTTTTTTTTTTTTTTTTTTTTGCGGTACGTGGGCCTCTCACTTTTGTGGCCTCTCCCGTTGCGGAGCACAGGCTCTGGATGCACAGGCTCAAAGGCCATGGCTCACGGGGCCCAGTTGCTCCGCGGCATGTGGGATCTTCCCGGACTGGGACACGAACCTGTGTCCTCTGCATCAGCAGGCAGACTCTCAACCACTGCGTCACCAGGAAAGCCCTCATAGCTTATTGATTCTTAAATCTGGCATCAAATAAACTCTTAATTATTCACGAGTGAATTATCTATAGGAACTTTTCCCCACAGCTAACTAACTCATTATCTTCCAATTCAAATGGATTGACAGGATATGCAAATAGGGAAAGGAAAGCATATAATGCATTGTGGTGAAAAATATACATTATTTAAATATTATCTCCAGTTGATATTATTCATGTCAACAACACTTTCCATTAAATGTAGTTGAGAGTAGCACCCTAAAGTCAAAAGACTTTATCATTTAAAAATTATTGCAAGAATTCTGTTGACGAATTTAATGTCTGATTAGTTGGATCACTCATTCCTCCCTTCAATGTCTCATTCAACCAACTCTGATTACCAATTATGGTGCTCAATGGAGGAGGTTCAAAGACTGGTCTTTGCCTTTTCCAGATTTATGTCTAATAAGGAAGGAAGACTAGTTTAGGTGCTTCTACTACATGTTTTAGAATTGTGAGCACGTAAAATGAAAGTCTAAATGTGCTAAAGAGTGGTCGTTGACCGATCAAGATGTGAAATAGAGTGATTTTTCGTGAAGGTGGGATTTTCAGAAATGTAACTGCACGGATATGGCTTTTATTTTGTAGAGGATTGCCTTGCTCAGTGTGGCAAAGACTGCAAATCTTACTGCTGTGATGGAACCACGCCCTACTGTTGCTCCTACTATGCCTATATTGGGAATATTCTCTCGTGAGTATTAATCGAATTTGGCCTTATTGATACTTTTTCCCTTGCCCAGTTATGTTTTCAAAAAGTACTAAGTTATAGTTATGAGTAGGAAATTCTAAGATTGGTTGTTGACATAAAATCTTTACTGGAGACACTCAACACTCATCACTATCTAGTGTATTGTATTATTTAACTAAATGTGCAAATTAATATACAAAATAAATTGCTTTTGTTAGAAGGGAGTTTAAAGAATATTTTTTATTGTCTAACTTGTTTTATGATAATAATAATGTAATAGTAATAATAATGTTTTAACTAGACCATATTCATATATTGATCATTTTTTAACATTGTAAACTATATTTTTTTGTCCACTTTGTTGAAGGATTAGTAAGTTAAAATTTGTCATTTAATGATAGCCAGTTTATTTTGCCACGCATATATTTGTCTGACTCAGCCAGTAGATATCAGGGAAAAGAGACATTATGAATAAAAAGCAGTTGATATATGAAACGTCAGTTTTCTACATGATGCATCTAAAGCCACTTTGGGAAACAAGATTAGATCCCAAGAAATCTAGCCTCAACAGGGTAAAGTGATAACCAACTACAAAAATCAATGAAACATACATGCAGAGAAGGTGTTAAGTATTTCTCCCTAACAAATTAAGGGTTTATTTTAGAGATGCTTCTAGGTGAAGGGAAATGGACGAGCAGAAGTTGTTTTCAGGGTTGTATGTCTGAGGACTGTGCAACTCTCTATTCCTCTACACACACCTTCAAGTTGAGAAATAGAAGGTAGAGAATAGGAACATAAGAATTTCACCCATGGGTGACCATCACCCATGGCTTTCAGGAGTCTGCATTTTGTATTTTTCAAGTGACTGTCAGGATGATTTGAAGGCTGTTCCATTGTGACTTAACTTGTGTTTTATGAAGGCTTACGTGGAGCCAGGAAAGATTAGGCCTGGCTATTTTAAGCATATACCCATTGAGATGGCTTATAAGTCATCCTCGGTTTCCTGAGAATAGAAAACCTGGCATCGCATAGACTTTCTAGAATCCAAGTGGGGCTGATCTTAGAGATCATGTCTCCATGAATAAGGCCAGAAAGAATCATACTTCAGGATATTCTTGAAGACTGTCATGGAGATGGAAGAAATGTCAGGCTGTAATAAAGATTGATGAACAGAATTTAAGCATTCTTTGAAATGCAAATAAACTCTAAAATGTTTTAATTTTTTCTCATAGAAGATTTGGTGGAAAAACATTAAGTCCCTTTACATTTAGAAAACAGTCAGAATCAGTTTAGAATATAAATACATAATGATGTTTCTCATTTGTATATCACTTCATACTTTTTAAGTAAATTAAAATACTTCATTACTAAATTCAAATTTGATTTTTCCAATGATCTCCACATGCCAGAGGCTGTTGTTACAGGTACATGTGTGAGTGGGCCCCAAAGATGGTATAGATTTGAAGAACCTGGTGTCAGAATGACTCTGATTCTTTGGTCCTGTGGCTCCTGGCCCATTTCTCTGCCCACTAACTACATCACAATGTGTGTGTTGTGCCCTTTTTCTCACCTCATAGATACCTCCACCCTGATAAATATATATAGAAGACATAATTACTTACTAATCAAAATAGTTTAAAAAATTTTAATTTACAGTTGTGCTTTACATGTTTTATATTTGCAATCAGATTCATTTTTTATGGTACCTATTCTTAGAACTAATTTTATCACTTGGTTAAAGTAAAGAATTCGTTGAGTTATATCTTTATCTGGGTTATTAGGGCCATGTACTTGCTATGTTTGAAAAAAAGAATTGTGTTTTTTGTCGGGCGGAAATAAACACAGATGGCATTATATTTCAGGCAGCTAAATTGAATTTTCTGTTCAAAATAGAAACTACTAAGTAAATCCCTTGCTAAACAATTCTTAGAGAAAAAAAGAGCTTTAAAGTGTTTTCCCCACTGGATAAAGGAGAATACATTTTCAGGATTTCCAGTTATTGTTTAAGATTTGAAAAGAGTTAACTCCACCCAAAGCTTTTCTCTTTTCTGAGTTAGGGTGGGTGTGTGGGGTAGAGAAAGAGAAAATAATTCCAAGAATGCTTACAAAAGTTCTTTCATGCACATGTTTTCAAATATTGCTATTTTGGAACTCATACGCTATGCTCCTTCTCTTCCAAGCACCCAGGCACATTCTTAGTAAAATCATTTTAATCATCTTAACAGAGAATTTAATCTTCGTGGTCGTCAGTAAGGTAATAGGGAAGAAAGCAATAAACACAGTGGAATGTTTTGTATCCTAAATGAATAATTTTATAAATCTGGCTTCGAGTCTTTTTTATTTTCAAATAGAAAATGTCTTGGCTTAGCCTAAAATGAGCTAAAGAGAGTACAAAACACGATTTGGGTCATTCTAGACTGTGTGTAAATTGGTAAGGTAAGGCACACTTGATCCTTCTTGCTGAGGCCTCTCTAAAATAATCAGAGTAGAGGTATTTAGCCCTTAATTCCATTTACTTCAACTGCTCTTTCTAAACTTCTGCAAATTAACCATTAATATTTGTTTTCAAAGATATCACAAGAGCTATCTTTCAATTTACCTTTTATATAGTTGAAAAGTATTATTTTACTCAGGTCTCTCCCTTTTACCCCCTTTCTATCAGTTAGGAATTTGAAAATTTATTTGTGTCTTGTGAAAACAATTTAAAAATTAAACTTTAAAAATAACATATATACTTTTTAAAATTGAGATGTAATTGACGTGTAACATATTGGTTTCAGACGTACAACATAATGATTTGATATTTGTATATACTGCAAAATGAGCAATACAATAAGTCTATTTGACATAAATCTATTTAAAATGGCATGCCTACTTTTGCTCATTATGGTCACAGATATTGACTTCCATATGGAAAAGTAACTATTATTTTCCAGAATTTAATAAAAATTTTTGCAAAAGTCAGCATATACTATGCAATCAGTTATTTACAAATTCATATTGAGTGCCTGTTACCATGGCAGCATAGGATCCAAAGATGAATAAATGATGTTCCCTGACCTTTACAATCTCACAATCTTGTAAGAGAAGAAAATGTAGACAAATAATTCTTCATAGAATTAATCTATGAAGTGTTATTGAAGGGCTGAGAAGAGAGAAAGCAGCTAAATGTGTGTGTGTGTGTTTAGAAAGAGATGTTTAGAGAAATTCTCATAAATATGAAATTTGAACAGAGTTTTAAAGAAAGAATAGATATTTACATAAGTGGACAGTGAAGAAAGGGAAGAGCATTCCAGACAGAGACAGTGTCCCCTACAAAGGCAAAGATTTAAGAAAGAAAATGGTCAGTTTGGGAAAACCCATGTTGTTCAGTGTTGCTAGAAAAGGAAGGTTAAACTTTGAATATAACATACAAATAAATAGGTAAGACAAAAGATACATCCTTATTTTACAGACTTTTATTGGTAGACTACATTCTTTTATTGGTCATGTCTAACAAAACTAAAATAAAATAGTTCAGTATTTTTCTGGAAATAAGAGCTGGTTTTATGTAAAACGGACGCACTCTTGGATACCACTAAGACAAGGGACAAAGGTGAGAAGGCACCAAATGAAGATTATTTTTACTTATTCCATAGAGAAAATTTTTAGAGTGAACACTGAGATGTTACACTATTTAATACCATTTATGACAGAATATGTGACTGGAATTTTTTTCTCCATTTTTGATCAGGAGTGTAACTACCTGACAATTAGAAACTTCACTGTGCTTGAAAATGAGAATTGGGCCAATTTACAAAGTAAACAATTTCTCATCAAACTGATTCTCAAACATTTCATCCAGCCACTTTTCTCCATGGAAAATAAACATTCTGTGATGACTATGGAAATGGGTATTTCAGTTTTGCTGCTGATGAAATTTGACTGACATCTCCTAGAGATAGGATCCAACATAAAGATAAGGTTTATGGAGTATTCTTTAGAACTAGTAGAATTCAAGGGCTCAGAGGGTGCAATTGAGTGGCTAATTACTATTAGTAATGGGACAGACTAAAAGCAGAACTTCACTGAAAACGAAGAAAGACTGTTATGTGAATAGGAGAATAATTGTACAATATTGAACATGAACCAAATAATGACTGGGTTGGACGTGGTGAGCCAGATGATAAGATATAAAATTTAATCCCCTCATTCAGAAATAGATTTTTGCTTTTCCATGTTGCTTTTGTAGAATGCAGATATGTCTAGGGATCCTTCAGTGTGCCATCTGGCCAACACAAAATTCCCACGGGGAAAAATCAAAAGAAAGAACTAATAATGGAGATGCTGGTGGGATTAAGTTTCTTTTCTTCTCAATGAAATGTAAAAGATGTATTGCCCAAAGTTTTGCAAAGACAGCTAATAATATCACAACTGTGATGTTAGAACCATGTTATTCATGAAAGCAAAACTGAGTTAAAAGATAAAGGTTTCATATTTCCAAATGGCATTTGAGGTCCCCTACTCACTAAGTAGCTGAGCATTCTGAATAAAATAAGTGAGGCTGTTCAAATAAGGACAGAAACGTAATACAGTTTGAAAGGCCTTTGGCATTGGTAAGAACATCATTTAAATTAAATGAATTAAAATGTTCTTAGGACTTAGATATGATAAAACACCTCTAAAAGGTACATTCTGAGCAAATCAAAGTTTGTGGGGGTCTTGTTTTTGTTTTAATAATGACAGAATGATAAATAACTAATATAATGTTAAAATGAATATGAACTTGATTTTAATGTTAATGAGGTGACTTTTGGAAAGCACCTGGGGATGGGGGCTGGTTGCCAGGGAAACCAACCATGTGATTAGGGGGTTGGAACTTTCAATCCCAGCCCCTGGACCTCTAGGGAGGGAAGAGGGGCTGGAGATTGATTTCAGTACCAATGGCCAATGATGTAATCAATCGTGCCTTTGTAATGAAGCCTCCATGAAAATGCAAAAGGACAGGGTTTGGAAAGCTGCCA